GGGGGGGGGGGGGGGGGGGGGGGAGGAGGACTCCACCCCCCTATTTGAGAATTGTTGCCAAGGTTGAGGAACCCTGCTCTGGAGGGAGCTAATTTATGGCTTATAACAGCCTCAAATGGTTTGTGAATAAATTGATTCAGGTGGCCCTCAGTCCTGTCTTCTGCCCCAGGGACCAGAACTTCAACTCCCAGAATTCTCATCACTGGCTTAAAGTAGGGTGGGGGATTCTGGGAAGATGTTGTGATTGGGAAGCTATTCTGGCTGAGAATCCTTACTTGTGTTTAATTTAATTGTGGATATTTATGTTTTTGTTGTCTGGGAGTTTCATTGTATGCCGCCCAGAGTCTCCCTCTCTGGGAGATGGATGGCAGATAAATTTAATAATCAATCAATAAAAAATAAATAAATAAATCCTGGGGATTGGGATTCTGGGAGGAGAAGAGGTTGGGAAGGGGTCTGGTACGCACCTTTGGCAGATAGAGGAGGGTCTGTAAAGTGCCACCCGAAAGTCAAGATGGTGACTGCAACAATGCGATCAAAACTGGACAGGCCACGCATGTAAAGAAAGCCTTTGACTGCACCATTGCGGCAGCCATCTTGACTTTTTTGACCATCCCTTGGGCAAGTCAGCTGGACAGTTTGACCTTCCTTCCTTTTCCCCCTCCCTTCTGAACAGGTGATTATTCCACGCAGTCGATCAGCAAGGGCTGCGTGCAGGTTTGCCCCCAAGGCGGGATCAATATCGGCATCGCGGCCATGTCGGTGAAATGCTGCTCCTCGTCTTTCTGCAACGTCAGCGGGGCGAGCAGCGTCAAAGCAAACCACCTTGGGTTGGCCTTTGCAATGCTGGCCAGCTTCTTCTTTCTCTTTGGATCCAGGCTGTGATTTCAGGCATCTCTCCGGCTGCATCAAGACGCCAAGCGTGTTCCAGAAATTGTGTATCGAGAATGCTATTCAACTGTACTGCTCTTTAACCTGAAATTTTACTAGGTTTATGGAAATAGGGTCAGGGGTGGGGAAATTTTGGTTTCTAGCATCACTTGGGGTTGTTGGAGGCTGAGGCACACCCGAAAGAGAGAACCTCTAGGCCAGTGTTTCTCAACCTTGGCAACTTTAAGACCTGTGGACTTCAACTCCCAGAATTCCCCAGCCAGCATGGCACCAAACTCATGGACTTCAACTCCCAGAATTCCCCAGCCAGCATGGCACCAAACTCATGGACTTCAACTCCCAGAATTCCCCAGCCAGCATG